TGATCACACAGGTTGATATGTTGTTCCATGTGGGCTTTGTTGCTTCTGAGCTAGATGGCCGCTTGTTTACCTTCAAGCTTTTAAGACCCCATCATTTATTTTTAATATTTATCTTCATGTTTCTGATTTTTAAAGCAAGGCAACTTTATACTTAAATTTCAGACAATACAGAAAGATGTATTGAGAAATAAAATCCTCTCTTCATCTTACCATTCAGTTTTATTGCTCACACCTATGTTCTACATATATACAGATACATATGTTTCACTATAAATGGTTTTACAATCTGATTTCTTTCATCAGCTATGTAATGGGTAGCCATTCCTCTTAATTGTGCTAAATCATATGACATTAAGAAAGAGAGAGAGAGATTTCCTTCAAGGAAATAGCTCAAAGGGTTGTAGAGACTGCTATGTCATGTCAGGCTGGAAGGCTTCTCCTCATTTACATCACTACAGGGGCTGACAAATTCAAGATCAGCAGGTTAGATAGCAAAATGCTGGCTTACAGTTTACAGAAGCTACCAAATCTAAGATAGGTAGGTAAGACAACAGGCTGCTGGCTCACAGGCTGAGGGAGCTAAACTGACAGATCCCCTGAACTAGAGGTGATGAGCCAGATGCAGGATACAGTACAAGCAAGTACACTTTGCCAGGCCATCCGCGTATATATATTAGATGCTTGTCATACTGCCAAGGAAACTCCCCTTGCAACTTATTGCCTGATTGCATCGGAACACCTTATGCTAGATGGTTACAGCATTACACAACTTCCAAACTGCATCATTTTATAACTGTCAAACCATTGCACATCATGACCTAACCAAGGTGACAGACAACCTTTACCAACATAATCTCACACACAGTAAAAAGTGTATTGCAAACGATGATATACAAGCCCCACTCTCCAGTAAGCACATGAAAAGATACTTATCATCAATCATAAGAGGAAAATTGCAAATCAATTCCCCAATGAGACTACTTTACACTAATGAGGAGGGCTATAATTAAACAGATAAACAAACAAGATACAGCAAATAAGTGTTGGCCAGAATGTGGATTAATTGGAATCCAGATACACTGCCAGTAGCAAGGTAAAATGGTACAGCCAATGTGGAAAACAGTTTGGCAGTTAGTTTCACAAAAAGTTAAACACAGATCCAGCTAGAACAGAGTATGAACATTGGGACAGATAAGAGCTCACAACACAGGGAATCCAGGACAGATAAACCCCTCAGGACTAATAATGAGAGTAGCAATGCCAGGAGGGGAAGGGGAAGGTGGGAGGAGAAAGGAGAACCAATCACAATGATCTACTATAACCCCCTTCAAGGGGGACTGACAACAGAAAAGTGGGTGAAGGGAGACAGTGTCGGTGTAAGACATGACAAAAATATATATCTAAATTATCAAGGGTTAAGGAGGGAGGGAGGGTGGGGGAGGGGGGAAATGAGGAGCTTGTATTAAGGGTTCAAGTAGAAAGAAAATGTTTTGAGAATTATGATGGCAACATATGTACACATGTGCTTGACACAATGGATGGAAGTATGGATTGTGATGAGAAGTATATGAGCCCCCAGTAAAATGATTTAAAAAGAAGTTAAACATAGAATTCCCATGTTGTATTGCTAGGTGCTCTCGTCTGCTCTGAATCATAAGTGACCCGATGTACGACAGAAGGAAACACTGCCCGCTCCTGCACCATCCTCACAACTGTGATGTTTGAGCCCATTGTTGTAGCTACTGTGTCAATCCATCTCATCAAGGGTCTTTTTTTCCTCACTGTCCTTCTCCTTCACTGAGCACGATGTCCTTTCCTAGGAGCAGATCTCTGCTGATAACATGCCCGAAGTATGTGAGACGAAGTCTTGCCATCCTAGCTTTTAAGGAGCATCTTGGCTTGGGCTCACCTTAGTCCTCAAAGTAACATCCTTGCTTTTCAACACTTTAAAGATGTCTTGGCAGCAGCAGATTTACCCGATGCAATGCACCCCATATGATCCAGTAATTCCACTCTACATAAATACCTAAAAGAATTGAAAATAGGTCTCCAAGCAGTACTTGTATGCCAGTGTTCATAGTAGCACTGTTCACAATTGTGTGGTGGTTACGTAATCTGGTGTCAATTTGAGGATTCAGAGTGAAGGGGTGGAGTCTAGTCTGTCAATCAGGTCATCACCAGTGAAGCCTCTGTGTGGGCATGGCCTTCTCCTGAGGATTCTGGGAACTCCGGTCTTCCTCCGTGCATGCGGGAGATACTCTCTCTCTCCACACTCCCTGCAAGACATCCCTGTAGAGAAGACACATGGAGAGAGGCTGATGGAGCCAGAACTCTGGAGCTGGAGAAGCCACGTGGAGACCCCTGCCAGCACTGAGATGCTTACAATACCACTGGATCCTCAAGACTTCCCACTTACTGTCCTGTGATCTTTCTGCATTCAGCATCATTGCATGTATTTCGTGAGTCTGGACTTTATAGATTGGTATCAGACATATGGGCTAATATCGGACTTATTGACTTGATCTGGACTGGGACATTTTCTCAATATTCAATTGCTCTTCTATAGCAATATCTTTCTTAGACACATATGAGTCTCCCTGGATTTGTTTCTCTAGTCTACCCAAACTAACACAGCCAGTGTTCATAGTAGCACTATTCACAGTTGCCAAAAAGTGGAGCCAATCCAAATGTTCATCAACTAATATATAGAAAAACAAAATGTGGTATTTTCATACAGAGCAATTTTGTCAACCATAAAAATTAATAAAGTACTGATACATGCTTCAGCACTTCATGGACAAACCTAGAAAACTTTTCTGGGGAAAAGAAGCCAAATGTGAAAGATCACATATTGTATTATTTTATTTATATGAAATGTCCAGAATATGAAGCCCTTAGAGACAGAAAGCAGATTCATTGTTGCCAGGATTGGAGCTGGGGGTGGAGATTGGGGGCGAGGGAAGAGGAATGGGGAGCAGCTGCTTAATGGGCAACAATTTTCCTTTTGGGGTGATGGAATATTTTAGAATTAGATCAAGATGACATTTGTACAACATGGTGAATGTACTAAATACCCTAATTGCACTCTTTAACATGGCTCATTTCATGTTACCTGATTTTTATCTCATTAAAAGAATTAAGTCTTTCAACTTTAAAAAAAAGGTTATTTTTTAAAATGACTGGAAAGTATGAGAGAATGGTCTTAGAGGATAGAATAAGGGAGACCAAGAAAGGAGGCTTGGCAGTAGTTCAAAGAGAATTGATGATGGCTGGAATACACGAGCCCTGCTGGCATAGTGGTTAAGCTTTGGGCTTCCATCTGCAAGGTCAGGAGTTCAAAACCACCAGCTACTCCATGAGAGAAAGATGGGGTTTTCTACTCAGGTAAAGAGATACTTTCCTCGGAAACCCAAAGGGGCAGTTCTACCCTGTCCTATAGGGTCACTGTGAGTAGGGATAGACTCGATAGCAATGAGTTTGGGTTGGTTTTGGAGAGCAAAGGAGGTGGTGATGAATGTAGAGTGAAGTGGAAAATTTCCAGATTAAGTTATGAAATTGACAGAACTTGCTGGTGGGTTGAACACAGGCTATGAAGAATAGAGGAGCATTAAGAATGATTGCTCCATTTTTCTGACTTGAACAACGCAGGAAGTGCTGGTGTTGTAGTACTCCATAATGAAGGGACAGGAATCCCCGTAGCAGAGCAGCCTGGGGCTGAGGGTGCAGAGACTTCCTTCAGGGATGGTTATACCCGACCTTGGCAGGAATGGATGGAGGTGCACATCCGATCATCTTTTCTCCACTCCTGGCAATAGCTCAGCTTCCACTCTAGCCAGTTCCCACATGAAGGTATTTTTAGAATGATTTTAGATGGAGGACTCAGAGTTGTTGTTTTTCTTTTATATAAATCATTTTACTGGGGGCTCTTATAACAATCCATACATCAATTGGATCAAGCACATTTCTGCATATGTTGCCATCGTCATTTTCAAAACATTTTCTTTCTACTTGAGCTCTTGGTATCAGCTCCTCTTTTTTCCCTCCCACCCTCACCCTCCTACCCTCATGAACCCTTGATAAATTATAAACTATTATTATTTTCATATCTTACACCATCTGCTGTCTCCCTTCACCCACGTTTCTGTTGCTCATCCCCCTGGTGTGGGGGGGCGGTTCTACACTGATCATTGAGGTCTGTTCCCCCTTTGTTCCTCTCAGAGTTGTTGCTGACACATATTTAGGACTCCCTTTCAAATTCTCAGCTCTCGTCTTGGGGTCCATAGGCTCAGCTTCCGGCCTCCTTCCTGGAGGCTGAGCAGCCTTTCCTCAAAAACTTATCTACTCTTGGGCCTGATCCGTGCTGTCCAGATTGTGGCTGTTGAAGACAGCCCGGTCCTTCTGGACTTCCTTCTTCTCCTCTTACTGCTGAACGATCCTTTGTGCTACTCTAGGACTTTCTTGCCCAAGATTTCTTTGGGAAGCACCCCATCCTATGCCGCAGCTTACGCAGACTGCTACTCTGACCTTATGTGAGCCTCACCTAGTCTCTCCCACTCTGCAGAGGACACCCTCTCCACCCAGAGGCGGTTTATGAACAACTGTATCCAGGCCAGGAGGAAATGCCAGGCCAACCCCACTTGCAGTGCTGCCTACCACAACCTCCTGGATTCCTGCATCTACAGTGCAAGCACCCCACCACCCTCAAGGGAGCCTGAAGAATGCCAGAGGGCAGCACAGCAGCTCCAGAACAGCTCTCTGATGGGCTGCTCATGCCACCGGCGCATGAGGAACCAGTCTGCCTGCCTGAATATCTTCTGGACTGTTCACACTGCCCGAAGCCTTGGTGAGGCCCCTGATCCTAGAAGGGACTAGAATGCGGGGATAAAAAGGTGGCTCTTGGGTACTGGTAATTAATCCTGCAGAACATGGCTGTTGGGTACATTTCAATTGGGATGATGAGGAAATTCTGCATTTGACATCGATAAGAGGTGGAGTGAGGAAGTGACAGCATCTTTTTGGCTTCCTACCACGCCGCTGTCTCTTCTCCCAACTCCCCCTGTTCCTACCTGGCAAACAAGGAGCGCCCTCTTGGAACAGCATCAAACCAGGCTGAGGGCAGCCTGGAAAGCTGTCGGAACAGGAGGGGGTGGGGAGGAGGTGGGGATAGGAACTGTAACCCATAAACAGGCTCCAAATAAGATGTCTCCCACAAATTCAGAGAGATTGGGAGGTAGCATTCTGGTCCAACCCTTAACAAAAAAGGGGTATTTATTAATCAGACTAGAGATAATGTCCAGGAAGAACCAAACAGAAGAGCCTCCTCTGATTCTTTCCTTTGTTTTAGCTTTTACTAGACAATCGTGCACTAATAAAATAGTGCCAGTACAAATCAAGTTTATTTCTTGCTAATGTTCTGTGTTCGCTGTTTCATGTATGTTTTTGATTCTAGGTTCCAAGTTTCATCTTCATGTGACATGTGCCCTCCTCATGACAGAAGGAAAACAGCAGTGAGAGAGCCATGCAAAAGCTTCTGCTCAGATGCCCCATATACTGTTTCTGCTCACACCCCATTGACAAAGCAGGCCACATGGGCAAACCTGATATCCATGGACAGTGAAGTACAGTCCTTCTACTGGAAGACATTGCAAATCACATGATAGCGAGGGTATACAACCTTCCAGGGAAAGCAAAGAATAATTGGGCACAATAATAGGATCTACCATAGTTCGCCCCTTGTTCAAAATATTCACTTCCCATCCATCCACAAGCAAAATACACCCATGCCCCCTAGTCTTCCCAAGGAAGATGCCTTAACATTCTATATGAACATGACATCAGGCTCAAAGTTTAGGATCTCAGATACTCTGAAAGTGGCGCCTCTTGATCTATGAACTAAAAAGACAAGTCATCTGCCTTCCATGCCTAATATATAACAATGGAACTCCCCAACCCTGTTACTAACCAACGGCCGTGAAGTCAAGTCTAAATTCACAGAGACCCTTCAGGACAGCGAGTCCTAGAGAGTTTCAGAGACTGTAAATCTTTATGGGAACAGTTAGCTTCATCTTTCTTCTGTGGAGCAGATGGTGGGTTTGAACCTCAGACCTTGAGGTTAGCAGCCAAATACTTAACCCACTGTGCCACCAGGGCTCCTTCAATAATAGAACAGGGACAGGATGACCACAAATAACGCTCCCAGTTAGAAAGGGTAAGAATGGCAAACAGGCAACAAACACTGGTTTGTAGCAAATCTGAAATTCCACTTGACGAATGTTGCCAAGACTCTTTTCCTTGAGAGTACAAGAAGTTGCATCTCTCATTTCTCATTTTCTTAATAAAACCCTATTTCTGCTCCATGCAAGTCATGCTCTATCCATCGTTTCCCTGGACTCTTGGGCCAAGCCCTCTGGGGAGTCCTTCTTTTTCCGTTATTCTCTTTGGCCACATCTGAAGAGGGCATTGGAGACTACAGCCTCCTTGGGAATTGAGAAATATTCCAGCCCGCTTCCTGCCTGAGGAAGGTTGAGGCATTTAAAGACTCCCACAGTTAGTCTCTTTTAATCCAGACTAGTGGATTGTCTAGCAGTACAGCTCCTTCGCAACGGCCTTGCTTTGACTCTGTCGCCTCTTGTGCCGCCGGTAGCCTTGCTCACAATTCCTTTCGGGATATACATCTCTTTCTAGACCTGTTGGAAGTGCTGTGCCTTTGTGCAGTTTCTATGGGAGAGGCCATGTTTTCGTTTGGTTTTTTTCCTTGAGCATTTGGATCCAACTGGAAGGATTTATTGGGTGCCATCTTAATCAACTGAGAAGTCTCGAAGAAAGTATGATGGCCATACACTTGACTGGATCTTTGTCCCAAGGCTGAGTTATAATCATTATCATTCAAAGCAATTTCACATGTTATCTTTTCCCATTTGAATATGAGAAATAGTTGTGCTTCTCAATCAGTGGAGTGACTGGTTTCACTCTTTTCTCTTTCCCCTGTACTTGCAAACTGGCCGTTCCTTCCTGAGCTTAGATGTTTCATGTAGCCCACTGCCAAATGCAGACGACTGCAATGTAGCCATACTAGTAACCTGAGTTTCAGCTTCTTCTCCTTAAAATACAAGCTCATGTAGTTACATCACTTTCCTTCCAAGTTATTGCAGGGAACAATTTTACCAAATTACTAACCAATCCTGATCCTCAATCTGTCTTCAAGTTGAATTTGTAAGTATATTGAAAGAATTAGGTACAGTTCAAATCTAACGTCAGTTCATCAAATGTTTGTCTCAGCACAGCGCACACACATATTATTCCTTTGTTTGCATGAAGAAACACTTCCTGAGACACTACTACTTCTCTAACAAGAATACGAAATAGTCAGAGCAATGCTTTGATTTGCTCCTGGTCCATCTGATGTTCAGGACCCACAGACTGCTGCTTTTCCAGCGCCCAGCCATAGTTGCTTCACCGCGCACAGCCCAGTCCCAACGCCAGTGCCACACACTATAAGCCAGTGGTCCTCACCTTCTTCAGGCCGCGACCCTTTCGTGCAATTCCTCAGGTGCTGGTGACCCCCAATCATAAAATCACTTTTGTTGCAACTTCATCACTGTCATTTTGCTACTGTTTTGAATTGGGCGACCCCTGTGAAAGGGTCGTTCGACCCCCAAAGGGGTCGCAACCCACAGGTTGAGAACCGCTGCTCTATGTATCATGTATATTACTAATAAGAATTTCATAGGTTCTGCTATAGTAACAAACAACTCCCAAATCACTGGATACCAACAACAAAAATTTATTTCTTGCTCATGTTACACATCTGCCGTGAGCTTCCACAAGGTGGCTTCGTGTCTGCTCTGTCCATCTTCTGCATTTTGGAATCCAAGCTGGTAGAGGGAGGAGAGCAGTAGAGAGCCCTGTGACTTTTGTCACTTCAGCTCACAGTTCTCACGCCAGAGCAAGTCACGTGGCTAAGACTGCCATCAGTGGGATAGGGAGGTGGGGAATAATGCTCTCCTGAGATGGGTAGCAAACAACTAAAAACGACAGTACAATTTACTGCTCTCCTTGTTGCGTACTTTCTACTCCCGTCTTAATGGCTTCTCTTTCTGAACTCTTCCAGATCTTTTTACCAAACTCCTTTTCTCTTGAGGACTTCCAAGGATCCAACCCATTTCCCCTGTTTGCCCCATATCACCCATAACCCTTTTGCCTCTACAAAGACTTACTGGGAGATATCTTGACAAGATTTAATCATCAACATGTAGTGCACACCTACCATATATATGAATGTGCAGAGATTTTATATCAGACCTAGTAAGTTCCCTTAACGGGCTCACCTCCCCTTTGGGGTAGATGAGAGAGATTTGTTTACTTTGAGATATTGTCTCTTTCTTCTCAGTCAGGTTCAATTCAGGATCTGGTTTTACTTCCAACTCCTTGGCAGATGATGCATCTGCACAGCCAAGTGGTCAATCCCAGAGCAGAGGACCCACCACTGCCCCTTCCCTGATAGCACAAGAAAACAAGAGGCAGGATCTTTTTACTGCGTAGATTTCTGCAGGCAATAGGTCCACTGACTAGAAACAGTGACTCTGAGAAAGAGTGTACAGTAAGGTGACCAGATTTTAACACAGGTAAAGCAGGACAAAAGCGGGACTCCATTGATAAAACTCATATCCTGGCGAAATAGCCACATGGCAGCCAAAAACCGTATACCCTGACTTGTCGTGCATTCTTTCCAAAAATCGGGACTTTTTAAAAATGCTGTGGGACATGGGAAAAATTGTTAAAAATCGAGACTGTCCCACCAAAAGCAGGAAGTCTGGTCACCTTAGTGTACAGGTGTCAAATGCCAGCTCCTTGCCTAATTAGCTATTGGAATCTAAGCAAGTAAATTAAACCTCTCTCATCCTCAGATTTTTCTTACTTACCTAAAGCTAGGAGAATTAAATGAGATTACACACCCATACACGCAACTTTAGTTCTTCAGTGCTGCTATAGCAGAAATATCAGAAATGGGTGCCTTTAACAAACAAATTTAAGTGCTCACAGTTCAGAAACTAGGAGCTGGAATTCAGGGTGCCAGCTCCAGGGGACAGCCCTCCCTCTGCCACCTCTGCAGGAAGAGCCTTGCGTCTTTGAGTTTCTGCTCTTGGCAGCCTTCCTGTGGCTTGGCATCCCTCTTTACCCATCTGTTGGTTAGCCTGCTGGGTTGATCTCTTTTATATCTCAAGATATACACTCTATCCTAATCCTGCCTCATTTATTAAAACAAAGACGGTCTATTCTCAAATGGGTTTATAATCACAAGCATAGAAGCATAGAGGTTCGGATTTATGACATACATTTTGAGGGGACATAATTCCAAACCTAGCATACACACACACATATACAAATATAAATATGTATCCCATTGATTATATGGGATAGACAATGGGCTGCTAACTACAAGGTCAGCTGTTCAAACCCAGAAACCAGTTTGTGGGGGAAAAATGAGGCTGTCAGGACCTGTAAAACTTTATAGCTTGGCAAATGTGCTTGATTCAATTGATGTATGGATTGTTATTAAGAGGTGTAAGAACGCTCAATAAAATTCTTAAAAAATTACAGCTTGGAAAACACTATATAGGGTTGCTATGAGTCAAAATCGACTTGGTGGAAGTGGAAATATGTGTGTATATAATATATTTATATACACAAGATGAGATATGTTGACTATATATACATAAGTATGCATCATTTAACATCCATGATCTTTGAAACAGGATGTTATGTTATTTAGATGTTGTATGAACATCATATTATTATAACAGTCCTCTTAAAATTCAAAGGAACCCTGGTGGTGTATTGGTTAGTGTTGGGCTGTGATCCGCATGGTCAGCAGTTTGAAACCACAAAAGCTCTGTGGGAGAAAGACTGGACTTTCTACTCCTATAGACAGTTACAGTCTTGGAAACCCACCGGGGTTGCTCTGAGTCAGCATTGACTCGATGGCAGTGAGGTGTTTTTTAAAAAATATACAATTTATAGTTAAATCACCATAATGCCTATTATATTTTCTGCCAGAAAACACTGGATACAGGAGGCTTGGCGGAAGCTACACTCATAGCTGGGTCAGGACTTGGAAGACATTTGTAAGCTGAGGGTTAGGGTACACATGGAGAGTGGAACTGGGGGCAAGAGTCAACAAGAACACCCATAGCACAATTAGAGGAGCCGTGGCAGGCATTGCCCAGAGTAGGGAGTAAAAGGCTGTACAGGTACTGGGTAGGTAAATGAAGCCAGGAGGAGTGAGGGAGGAGAGGAAGCGTGCTGCGAGATTGAGATGTATCCTGGACACTCACTGTTCATTTACTCTAGGGCTTTGGGTCTCTAAGACCTTCCGGAGAGACGAAGCTCCCATTTGAGGCCTACATACTTCTGAATGTGGCGTTTCCATCTCTCTGACCCTTCCCTGAAGAATTCTGTGCTCTTCGATTCACACTGTATCAAAATGGTGGTTTGGGCATCCTAAAGAGACTCACATTATGTTCCTTTAAAATATCCTTTGACTTTTAGAGACAAAAAGAAGTCTAAAAAGGGCAAGAAGTCTGAAGTGGGTGTAGGGTGGAGAGGGGTAAGGTTTCCAAATGCAATTCTCATTGGACAGCCCTCGCGATCATCGGATAAGGAACAGGCACACTGTTGTGACGGGAAAACCTTCTATGCAACTTCCCATGTCTTTTCCTCACCAATACAGTTTTCCACTTTCTTAAAACCTCTTCCTTTTTTAAAAAAAATTTAAGTACATACTTTATTAAAAAGGACACCTATTAGAGTAATTTTCATTTTCAAAGCTCTGCATTAAGCATTTATCAGTGTTGCTTCTAGCTTTTGCACACACCCCCTTCCTTTTAAATCATTGTATTGGGGCCTCTTACAGCTCTTCTCACAATTCATACATCCATGTGTCAAGCACATTGGTACGCCTGTTGCCATCGTCCTTTTCAAAACATTTTCTTTCTACTTGAGCCCTTGGTATCAGCGCCTCATTTTTTCCTCCACCCTCATGAACTTGATAAATTGTAAATTTTTATTATTTTCATATCTTACACTGTCTGCTGTCTCCCTTCACCCATGTTTCTGCTCAAAAACTCTTCCCAATAAACCCTTTTAATTCCCTCCCCCAAGAAAACCCCCAAACCAGTTGCCACACCCTCCTGAGCTGACTTCTCTGCCTTGGTTTTCACTGGCCCAGAAAATCCCCCGCAGGCGCCACTGTTTGCATCAGACCTTCTTTTTGAAGGCACCCTACTGAGAGCGAAATTGTCTGCTGCCCTCCACTGATGGCAGAGACATGTTTAAACACATTTTGTTCGGACTAAATTTGTGCACGCATGAACTGGAACCTTAGTTACTTACTCTCCTAAAGGAGAGCGTTTTTAAAAGTTCATGGAAAATGGAACTGAAAGAGAAGGGAATTTTTCCACAAACGTTTGAAGCCTCCTCACAGATGAGATCTATTCCTTCGACCACAGTGCCCTGCACGCAGTGTGCCCAACAAATGGCAGTTTGAAAGAATGATTCTTATCATTAAACTATTGTATTCATCATGGACAGCCTAGGCCTCTAACCCAAAATAGAAACCCACTACCTTTGAGTCGATTCTTACGGATAGCGACCCTCGACAGAGGGATAGGGAACCTTTTTCTCTGCCAAGGGCCATTTGGATATTTATAACATCATTCTCGGGCCAAACTGGTGAAACACTTCATTAGCTCACCCCTAATGTGATGGCTGGAACTGCTTCTCTTTGGTGAGGTTTGTGATGTTAGCTGGGATTGATGATTTCAGGGGCCTTATATCGCCTATGGGCCGGCCGTAGCCCACCCTTGCTCTACAGGGTTTCTGAAGTTATAAATCTTGATGGGAGCAGTTAGCCCCTGCTTGTTTCCTAATCTCTGCACAGTTTGTAGCTAGTTGGGGAGAACTTAAGCCTTTTCCTTTTCTCCACAGGACTTGGGTCTGGCCCGGTGACCTCAGCCCCTCTTGCTCCAACCCCCACCCCGGTTCTCAGGATTCTGGTGCTCTCCCCATTGTCTGTAGGTGACTACGAGCTGGATGTCTCCCCCTACGAAGACACCGTGACCAGCAAACCCTGGAAAATGGATCTCAGCAAACTGAGCATGCTCAAACCAGATGTGGAGGGCAAGCCAAGACTGGGTAATGGGGGGCTGGGGCTGGACCCCAAGGGAAGGGTGTCTGGTGGGAAACACAAGCCAAGGGGCTTGTCAAGTAACAATTCTTAGCCTGCCAAGTGAGGAAAGAATCATTGAGTTAGCGTGAGGCAAGGACTACAAGAGCCATCAAAGAGCAAGGACTATTAGGGAGGCCTTCGAAGAGAGCCCATTAGGGCTCTTTGGTTCAGAAAGGCGAGTCCTTCCAAAGGGTGTGTTGGGAGTGGCGCGAGTGGCAGCAGTTTCAGAAAAATGTACTGAAATGGAGTATTTACTCTCATTCAAGGCAGCCAGGAAAGTAGTTTTGTCCCTGAAGACTAGGAAATTGTTTGTTTTCAACCAATCTAATGGGATGGGTGAGGTGGTGGGCAGAGAAAATAATGAGAAAGTATGTGACTGCACACGAGCGCACTCGGATGGAGATCCATCAATCTGGCAAAGACTCTGATGCTTTCTTCCCCCCCAGAAAAGTGAGGCTGTTAATTGAGAAGGAACACACACACACACACACACATTTTGAGAAAGATTTGACCTTTGTTGTACAGTCTTTTGTTGTTGTACAGTCTCGTATATTACAATTAAAATGTTGAGAGAGGAAAAAAAAAGAGATCACCACAAACTCTTAGTTCCAAGCAATCAGTACTATCCTGTTTCACAGTGTCTTGTTTGGGCTGCTGGAATATTTTGTTAGAAAAAACTCCATCATTTCCCCAGACTTGGAGTGTGGTGAACATGGAGGCATGAGCCACAGGAAGACAGACAGGTGATAGTAGACGTGAACAGAAGAAAACCCCAGAGCCAAACCCACGGCCACCGAGTCCGTTCACACCAGACAGGCGCAAACTAAAAACAACTAAACAAAAACAAAACCTCACTTGGTGGCAACTGTTTGGCACATTTCAGATGGTTTCCTTTGCTACAGGGCCTCTTGGGTTAGGATGCTCACCAGAGGGTCTCCCTGAAGTGGACCAGGGAAAAGGGTTCGCTTATTGGGATTTTCTGGATGCTTGACTTCTACATAAATGACTCTTTATTTTTATTTCTTTTTAAAACTGTTTACTGGGCATGAGGTGGGTGTTTACATCAGATCTAGATAAATGCATATCCCGCATATAAACAAAACACAACCACCTTGTTAAGCTAAGTAGGCTGGGGTGAGGGAGTCCTAAGAATCCCGGGGGGTCGTTTGTGGGCAGGGGGTAAAGCTCTGTGGTCCGAGTGGCTGTATTCTAGTTCATTCTGCCACGCTCCCATCCCCCACAACCTTCGGTGTTAACTTAGGGCGCTGCAGGGGTGCTCAGGGAGGCCCTGCTGCAGGGGTGCACGGAGGGCACAGCCCGGTGACTTGGTGACCTTCTCCCCCCAGACTCAAACCTCTGCCTCAAGCTGGCCATGCTGTGCACGCTGAACGAAAAGTGTGAGCGGCTCCGCAAGGCCTACGGGGAGGCGTGCTCCGGCCCCCGCTGCCAGCGCCCCGAGTGCCGCCGGCAGCTGCGGGCCTTCTTCGAGAAGGCGCCTGAGCCCCTGGCGCAGGCCCTGCTGCTGTGCCCGTGCGCCCCGGGGGACCGCAGCTGCGGGGAGCGTCGCCGCCACACCATCGCGCCCGGCTGCGCGCTGCCCTCGGCGGTCCCCAACTGCCTGCAGCTGCGCCGCACCTGCCTCGCGGAGCCGCTCTGCAGGTGCGCGGGGTGGGGGGGTGGGGGGGGGCCTGATCCTGCGCGGCTGGGTCTGTCCCCGCCTCCCCGCAGGCACCCTGTGTTTTCTTCCCTGGGGAAGCCACCTGGGATTCCCCTTCTCCCCTCCCCAGTATGGAAACGCTCCCGAAAATACAAAAAACATACAGACATTATCACACAAAATTCCATCACCTGGAGATAAGTGACGGGACTTTGGGGGCGGGGGGCGGGCATGTCTTTTTGCGTTTCCAGCCTCGTAGTCCCTCTGCAGTTTCGTCGTGATCCACCCACTATAGGGCAGAGTAGATCTACCCGCCCCCCCCCCCCCCCCCCCCCCCAGGTCTTCCGGGGCTTTAAATCTTCCCAGGACAAGAAAACCTCCTCTTTCTTTTATTTTTTTAAAACCATTTTATTGGGGCTTGTACAACTCTTATCATAATCCATACATATATTCATTGTGTCAAGCACATTTGTACATTTGTTGCCATCATCATTCTCAAAACATTTGCTTTCTACTTGAGCCCTTGGTATCAGCTCCTCATTTTTTCTCCTCCTTCTCCACCCCGCCCCATGAACCCTTGATAATTTACACTGTCCGACATCTCCTTTCACCCACTTTTCTGTTGCCCAACCCCCAGGGAGGAGGTTATATGTAGATCCTTGTAATCGGTTCCCCTTTCTACCCCACCGTCCCTCCACCCTCCTGGTATCCCCACTCTCACCACTAGTCCTGAAGGGATCATCTGTCCTGGATTCTCTGTTTCCATTTTCTATCTCTACCAGTGTACATCCTCTGGTCTAGCCGGATATGTAAGGTAGAATTGGAGTCATGATAGTGGGGTGGGGTGGGGGGAGTTGTATGTTTCATCGTTGCTACACTGCACTGACTGGCTATTCTCCTCATCAGGGCTTCTTTTGGGAATATATTTGTTTCTTGCTTCCTCATCCCCTCACCCCCTGTGTTATCTATTTTATGAGCATATTTCGTGGGGAGGCAGTTTGGAGTACTGGTAAAGACTCAAGTCAGAGGTGACTTTAAGTACTGGGTGTACGGGACCTAGTGCACATCACTTAGAGTCCATCATTTAACCTACTAAACGATACTAATGCAGACCTTGTGGCGCTCAGCACGTCAAAGGCCACTAGTGCACAGTGCACGGTAATCCTGGCCATGGCTCGGGTTTTGACTCTTAGAAACCCCATAGGACATGGATCATCACTTACTGTTCTCAAAGTACACACAACCACTACTATTTACAGAAGGAGCCCTCGTGATGCAGTGGTTAAAGCTCTCAGCGGCTAACCGAAAGGGTGGTCCAGTCACGATGTTAGAGGACCGTGTGGCGTCTGCTTCAGTGACGATTTACAGCTTCGAGAACCTCTGCGGCAGTTTTACCCTGTGCCATGTGGTTTCTAGAAGTAGGATTCTACTCGACAAGTGGATTAAACGTTACAAAAGCAGGCTGCCACATCTGTATTATGCAGGGCGGCTGGTAGACTCAAACTACCCACCTTTACCTTAGGGGCCAAGTGCTTTCACCATCCCAGCCCCAGGGCGCCTTCAGTAAATAGCAGTGCTTCTTTTGTCATGTATTGGATATTAAGAGCTTGGTTTTTAATGCCCACATTGTATTGCATTGGAGGCAAAATAGTCACTTATTAGTCATTCCTCTGTTGTTGGCTATTTAGGGTCTTTAGAGCCCTTGTGGCGTAATGGATTATGGATTCTTTGGGCTGCAACCATTAAGATCAGCAGTTCGAGAGGACCAGCCACCCTCCCGGAGAAAGATGAGGCTGTCTACTTGTGAGAGGGCAAGGGGAAGCCAGGTCAGAATTTCAAATTTGCCGAGAATGTGTGACAAACACCTTAAAAGTCCTCATAACCAATGAGCTACCAGTGGTGTTTGTAGCAACACAACCAAAGTGATCATTACAGATATGCATAACAATTAATAAATAAGACTGGTATTTCCTGCTGCATGATTTATAGCATTAAAGAATCGAAAACCAAAAACTGTACTCACCCATCACGTAGATTCTGAAACCCTATCGGACAAGGCAAAACTGCCCTTGTGGGTTTCTGAGACTGTAACTCTTTAAGGGAATAGAAAGTTTCAAGAAATAGCTGGTGGTTTTGAACTTGTCCTTGCACTCAGCAGCCCAACGTGTAACCACTATGCCACCAGGGTTCCCTCACAAGGGATAGTGGAGCCCAAATTCAGGGAGATATGTTGTAGGAGCTGGCAGGATAGGACATTTATTCTGACAGGGGCTGGCTTCCCCGAGGAGGAGGCCTAGGCCAGGTTTTGAAGGCAGAGGAGAATTTACATGGGCAGACCATCCTGAAGGGCAGCCAAGGTGAAGGCTGTAGACCAGACCTTCAATGGTGCCTCTTGACATTCTCTTTCTTCCAGGTCGCGTTTGGCCGATTTTCAGACTCACTGCCATCCTTTGCATGCTGTCAAGTCCTGTCCAACAGAGCAGTCCAGATGTCTGCGAGCATACACGGGGCTCATTGGTGAGACTGGGGGACATGTGGAGGGAACCCACATCTTGGCCAACCCTAGGGTGTGAGAATTCTCTGGAGGCTGAACCCGGGAGGAGTACTGAGGCGGGTGAGAGAGGATAGGAATGGAAGCTGTGGTTTGCACAGGTCCCTAAAAAGTCACCCCTCTTCACCCCACAGGCACTGCCATGACTCCCAACTTCATCAGTAGTATCAACACCAGTGTCGCCTTAAGCTGCACCTGCCAAGGCAGTGGCAACCTGCAGGAGGAGTGTGAGCGGCAGGAAAGGTCTTTCTCCAGCAATCCCTGCCTCAGTGAGTGTGGTCCACCTCTTCCTGTGACTGGGTCCCCAGACCAAAGGGGCTGGGGAGGATGGTCAACCTCTTGCAGACAAACCCGCTCCTTCCTCAGTATAGACTTTTATGGTCCCCGATCTGGACCTTTATTTTCACATTTTAAAAAATAAATCATTTTATTGGGGGCTCATACAACTCATCACAATCCATCCATCCATCCACTGTGTCAAGCACATTTGTACATTTGTTGCCATCATCCTTTTCAAAACATTTGCTTTCTACTCAAGCTATGGTATCAGCTCCTCATTTTCCCCTCTCCCTCCCCGTGCATCCCCCTCATGAACCCTTGATCATTTTTTAAAGTGACCTTTTCCCTACCTTCAGGCTGCCTGTTCAACTTGTGTGGGGCCCAGGGATACTCTCCAACCCAAGGGACAAGCCAGAACAATGAGACAATTCTGCTTGCTTGTCCCCATCCTCAACTGCCACTCCGAGGGCCCCTTTCCTTCCTTGAGACTCAGAAATCTCCAGTAACCATCTCCCTCTCATCTGCTCCCATCTCCTCCCTTCTCTCCTCAGGTGAGGCCATTGCAGCAAAGATGCGGTTTCACAGACAACTGTTCCAGGAGCAGTCAGACTCTAGTTTTTCTGTGCTGGAGCACCAGGTAGGGCCTTCTCTATTCCACCCCTCACACCTTGGCCAGACCAGCTGGAGAAAGGCCAAACCAGGCAGACGCAGGGATGGAGGGCAGTGAGAGCCTGGTCTCAAATACTAGAAACCACTGATGGATGGGAGGGGGCAGGCTCAAGGGAGGGGGCAGGTCTTGATTGAGATTGAGGGGGTACAGTGTGTGGAGATGGAGGGTTCACTAGGCTAACTCCATTCCATTTCTTCCACAGAATGAAAACCCTGCTCAGAGACCACAGCCCCAGCTGTTCTCTCTTTTCTCCTGCACACTTACCTTGACTCTGCTCCTGAGATTCTGGTAGCCGGACTTCCTGGGGACCCTCTTCCCTCCAGCAGACCCAGCCTGATCTATAGCCTACAAGGGGCGAGGAAAGGACAGCCCAGGAAAGCAATGCAGTGGCAACCCTGATCCCACCCTGGAGGTCCACTTGACTCTCGATGAGGCCATAGAAAAGCTAGGGGGTATTGACCCCAAGATCCTGGTTGGCTGGGTTCTCATACCTTCATCCTGTCTCCACTTGCAACTCAAGCTGCCCCTCTTCAGGACTTGGTGACACTGTCATTTAGCCACATCTTCTAGTTGTGACCAGCTCTGCCAAAGTCTTTCTTGGTCCCTTCCTCCTGTCTGCCAGGGTCCCCTAGAGGGAAACATCTTGCCATCTAACCAATCAGCCACTTTCTCATGCATTGCAGGCAGGCAGGACTGGGTGTTCTCAGGCAGCCCAGGAAGACATTTCCTATCATGAGGAGGGCTGGAGTAAAACTCTAGGGCCTCTCTCTCCTTGTCTCCTCCTCGTGGGAAGGAGTGGGAACCTTCTGCCTGCACTGCCTACCCAGGAACCCACCAGAGCATTTGAGCATCAGGGATCAGACCTTCTGAGGCCTGCTTTATTCCTGCTACTACCCCAAAGGCTAGTAGCAGACTTGAATCTTGATTAAAAATTTTGACTTAAAACTTGGCTTTTCCCCCCTCCCATTCTCTTGCCTTAGAAATTAATACAGAACTAGGAGTGTTGCTGACAAAAGGGTAGATGATCAGGGGACATAGCAACCCAGCCACCAACTGTTGGGTGGCTTTGAGTAGCTCTCCACCTCTGTGTGTACTTGACATGGAATTGGCAGAAAAAGTGGTTTCCATGAGACCTGAAATCTGTCCCGGCTCTAATCCTTTCTGGGACACCACGCAACGCCTGCCACAGCAGCTGAGAGGAGGCCCCTTTAGTCAAGCACAACATTTGTTAAGTACCTATGTGTGTTACCAGGAGCCCTGGTGGCGTAGTGGGTTATGCATAGCATTTGCTAACAGCAACGCCAGCAGTTTGAAACCATCAGCTGCTTCAAGGGAAAAACGATGGGGCTTTCTACTCCTGTTAACAGTAAAGCCTCAGAAACTCACAGCGGCAATTCTGCCCTGCCCTGTTGGGTCACAGGGAGTTCGGTTTTCTTGGATGTGTGTTACTGGTCTGCTGCAGTCCATAACAGAGACCAGAGCAAAGGACAGACTTATCCTTGCTCTCGGGGAACTTGTAGACCTGTCTGTCGGGATAAGGAAACGCCTCCCCATGCAAAGCACTTGGAAGAGTCGATTTATACCTCTGAGGACATTTGTCCAGTCATTCACTCATTTGTTCAGTAGGCATCTGTTGCGTCCCAGCTTTGTCAGGTGCTATGCTGTGCATAGGGGATTCCAAAAGTAAAATCCAGACTCTGTTTTCAAATCTTTCATACAGTAATACAGGCCAGGGAAATAGATAACCTAGTTAATAGATACAGTGCAACATGGTTAAAGTGTTAAGTCCCATTCCTTGAGCATCTACTGTGTGCCTGCCAAGTACTTTAATGCATTTATTCATGTAATCCTCCAATAACACTTGACTTTGCCAGCCACTAGCATATGACTTTGGGAGAAAGATGAAGCTTTCTATCCCCTTAAAGAGGTATGGTCTCAGAAACGCACAGGGGCAGTTCTACCCTGTCCCATAGGGTGGCTGTGAAAAGGTATCGACTCTATGGCAGAATTTGGCTTGGGTTTGATAGCTTTGATTTAACTTCTCTGGTCGGGGCCAAAATTGACATCTGTAACATGAAACGGCATAGAACTGTCATCATAAGGAATGGGATAATCCATGTAAAAGCATTGTGCTAGACACACAGTAGAAATTCAGAAGAGTTCAGCATTGCGGTTTTTGGTAGAGAATTTATATAATACAGACAATTCTAAAGAAGAAACCAAAGATTTTTGAAATCCCTCCACAATGCTACTCTTGTCTTCCAGACCATTCCCCTGGCACCTATGCACATAAGAATTTGTGACTTTATGCCAGAGGAGCCCTGGTGGTGCAGCGGTTAAGCGCTCAGCTGCTAACCCCAAAGGTCAGTGGTTTGAATCCAGCAGCCACTCTGTAGGAGAAAGACGCGGCAGTCTGCTTCTGTACAGATGACAGCTTGGATGCTCTGTGGGGGCAATTCCGCTCCATCCTGTAGGGTTGCTATGAGTTAGAATCCACTCAAAGGAAACAAATTTGGTTTTTGGTTTTGGGGGCACCTGGGAAAGAGGGCACATCAAAGTGAAAGTCAGACATCCTCCAGGATCCAGGAGTGGACCGCATCCCTTTTACCAGCAGCATACGTGTACTTGGTTGACTGCACCGTGGCTTATTTCACTAGCCACCAACTGAACAATCAAGGTGTCCCAGAGGCACAGTGGTTGGCAGCTCACCCACCGAAGGCGTGGTCATTCGAATCCTACCAGAAAGATGTGGCCATCTACTTTCAAACATGACAGCCTTGGAAACCCGAGGGGGCAGTTCAACTTCGTCCTATAAGATTGCAAGAAGCCAGCATCTAAGGGCTTATTTAATAGTCTTTTCATTTTCTCTGAGCCCAGTTTTTGGGCAGTGAGGTGGTGACTGGGGGTGTGCAGAGGAGCTGCCTGAGTGGCGAATAGAATAGGTGAGCTTCTTCCTGTATAATTCTTTCATCCCCTTAACCAGCCCTGCCCCCACCCCCAAATGCTCAGTCAAGCTGCCTCCCTGCAGACTCCAGTGGAGCACTTGTTCGACCTTCCCCTTTCTTCCCCTCCCAGGAAGATCTCTGGGCAGCCTTGCCTCTCCATTTGCTTTGGCTCCATTAGCCTGAGGCTGGGGGTGTGAATGGTACAGTCATGCCTTGCTAAGTGCTTGAATTAGACTAATAGGTCATCTGTGCTTTTCTCTGAAGAAGGTCCAAATTCCTGGTAAACAACCAGACCACTCTCCCAGCCCAGGGCCCAGAGCCAAGACCCAGGGTGGGGGTGCAGTGGCTGGAATGAGGCTTTTAATGGCATCCTGACTGGCTGGGATGGTTAATGCCATTAGACTAGCTTCTGGGTATGGAGGTAGGGACTGTTGCTGGCAGCAGTGGTAAGTGCAGAGTATTGAATTACAGGCCTCTCCTTGGTTGGGGAGGAGCTGACTATCTTTTAAACTGCTATCTTCAAAGTCACTCAGTAAATCAGTCACTCATTCCTCAAACTTTGAATAAGCACTTATTCTGGGTCCAGCCATGAGTTTTTTTGTTTGGGGACTTTTTTTTTTTAATGCCATGAATATTTTAAAAAGGGACAAGATCACTTTCTGCCATTCGTGGGCTACCATTTTGGTGAAGGGGCTGCCTAGGATACGGGGGACTGAAATCCAAGTTTGAGTAGTTGGCATGCGTTAGTTCTCCTGGTGAACTTCAATGTAACCTTGGGAAACATCTTTCACCCTCTGCACACCCCACCCCACCCCATTACATCTGCATAGTGGGGTGGCCAATAGGAATATCTGACACAATGGGTCATTTTTGTGTGTGTCTTGTTTCGTCTTTGTCTTGTTTTCAATAAATACAACGGTCGCAGTTTATTGGCAATGCCTAATTACACTTATATTTATTTTAATAATTTTGTTTGACAATATTTTGCCTTCCTATTCAAAAGCTAGGATCCCTAGTGGGCTAGTGGGTTATACAAGGTTACCAGCCGTTCCACCAAAGAAGGATGAGGCTTTCTCCACCCATCAACATTCCGAGATTCAGAACCCACTGTGGCAATTCCACTCCGTCTTATCAGTGTCTGAGTCACAATGGCCTGGGCGGCAGCGAGTAATTAAAAAGTGAAGTTTATAGATAAGGAATTTATGCTAGCTTTCATCTTGCATGTAAATTTAAGTTCTTAGATAGTAGTAACAATATTTAAAATCAACTCAAGGGCTGTTTTGAGGACTGGAAAAAATGATCTTATTTAACATGGTGTCTGATACAGGATGAATAATGATTGCTATTATCATTTGGAGTCCCTGGGTACAAATGGTTAAGCACCTGGCGACTTACCAGAAAGTTGGCAATTTGAACCCACCAAGGGCCCCTCAGATATAATCCCTGGACGTCCACTTCTGAACAGTCAGCCATTGAAAGCCCTGTGGAGCACAGTTCTGCTCTGACACACATGGAGTTCTTTCTCATGATTCAGAATAGACTACTGGTTAATAATCATTACGACTATTCCTGGGAGGGGATCAAGTGGGCACATGAACTCTACTCCCTGCCCTGGAACAATAGTGAGGTGGATGCTGGTTCTTCTAAACACTGGGAGCCACTCCAGGAGTCTCTTGAGTCAAGATCTGAACTCCAAGAAGCCACAGCTTTGGGCCTGTAACTTAGGCAATGGGGACCTCAGTTAAGTCTTGGAGTGTGAGAAAATCAAGGCTCTTTTGGCTGCAAGTAACAGAAACATTTAAATGACTTGATAAAAGAGGAATGTTCTTCTAGCTCCTAGGTCCTGGGAAGGAAGAGGTTTCACCATTGTGGGGTCTTGCTAGTCCTGACAGTTGATGAGCAAGGCAATGAATGCATCACTGTTTGTTCCCTTGTCACCTCTGCATCCATTCTGACCAACAATCACAGGCTCTTAACTCATTTCTCTCTTGGAGTCTCAGAAATTCCAGTCTCTTCAATGTGCCTGCTCCTCGTAAGTGGTGTACTGGGTGACATGTTGGGCTGCGAACTACAAGGTCAGCAGGGTGAACCCACCAGCTGCTCCACAGGAGAAAGATGAGGCTGTCTGTTCCCACAAAGATTCACAGCCTCAGAAACCCAGAGAGGCGATTCTACTCTGTCCTATAGAGGCTCCAAAAGTCGGAACCAGCATGATGGCTAGGGTTACTCCTTTAGAGGAAGGAAGCCTGACCAATCCTGGAAGCCGAGAGGTGAGCTGATGACGTTCCAACTTCAGATACTGATCTGGTCCAGTTCCTCATTTGAGATAACTGTAATGAAGGAGTGAGGGAAGACAAACAAAAGTAATAGCTAACGCTTACTGAGAAGTTGTTCTAATGGGGAAAAAGACCCTAAATCCAAGCATATGTTATAGAGATCTCTTTATGAACCCTAAACAGAACCAAGACATAGATCAATCCAGATGAGGAAAATCATCAGCATGAAATGCCCAGTGAATTCATGGCCATGTGGCTAATCACAGACAATAGAAAACAAAAGATTATCATAATACCATGATGAGTAACAGATCAAGGCATTACTGTAGCAGGCAGAACTGCCAAAGCAGGGAGAGGACCAGGATTGGGCTGCGTACACAATTACACAGAAAAGCCTACAGGATTGGTCCTAGCGCCCTTCAACCAGTTGGCTGCTTGATGGTTGGGTATGACTCATGACGGTGCAGCCCTGAGTCATATCTATGGTACCCCAACTTCTAAACGACACACATCTCTGTAAACCATGAAGAACATATTTCCTGGGGGCAAAGCTGCCACATTGCTGGTGAATGGTCAGAGAGAACTCAAATGGAGACTGAACTCAAAATGATTCAAAATGGAGCTAAGGCTCCTACTGCAAACCACAGCATTCTACAAACCAAGTGTTTTAGAATTTAAGCTCTAATGCAGAGCTTTAATTAATATGTGTAAGTCACCATGCTAATGGCTTAATGAGCATGGTCTCGTTTAATTTTCATAAGTACCCTATTTTATTTTCTCCATTGTACAAGGGGATTTAGTAAAGCCACACACCTGTGCAGGATTAGAGCTATCGTATGGCCGATCCAGGAATCAAACCGTGTTCCTTGACTGCCAGGCTCAGTCTCTGATCCACACGGCATCTGTCTGGGGTTTGTATAGGAGCCTGGATGGCACAGTGGGTTACAAGTCGGGCTGCAAACCCAACTGCTCAACTATCAGCTGTTTGAACCCACCAGCTGCTCCTTGGGAGAAAGGCGAGATGTTCTCTTCCCCTAAGGTGTTACAGCCTCAGAAACCCCGCAAGAGGCGGCTCTACTTTGACTTGCAAGCAGTGAGGGAGTGAATGTTTGCATG